CTGTCCAGGACTTGGTCTTAGGTCTAAGGTCAGCAGGAGGTCTCAACATTAGGGCCAGGTAATGTACTTGTACTAAGACCTAGGGTCAATAGACAGAGCAAGATCCAGGACCAGGAAAAAGACCCTACTAGGTTCTACAATCCTGGGCTAGTTTCAAGGTCAAGGAATAGGACCTTGCCCAGGGTCAGGAATAGGACAAGGGCGCGTGCCAGTAGTAGATCAAAGGTCAAGGCCTAGAATTGAAATCTACGAATTAAGGTCTAATAACCAGGGCCACAACTATGAGTAGGTCTAAGTCTAGGACCAGTTGTACTAAGGACTAGGGCTAAGGCTAGGTCTGAGTGTAGGGCCAGAGCTAGATGCAAGGTTTATGGCAAGGAATAGATCTAAGGTGAAGGACTATGATGATGATTTCGACTCAGGCCAAAACTGTCGAAAGTACCAGAATGTAACTAGATCTAAGAAGTCAAAAATCCTCCTGTTATACAATAAGACACCATTATTCTATCATATTTTTCGTCAGAAATGTAAGTATGACCCTGAGAAAACCTTAAAAAAAATGTGTCCCCTGATAAAGAAGGAAAAGGTTCCACATCCCTCCAACATAAGAAAAAGTGTTGTTTTTATGTTCTTCAGAAGTGCACTCACTCCATGGTGAGTGCAGATATTTGCAGTACATGCAGGGACAAGATTACAGGCTGCAGCACGCAATGTCATTTCATGAACCATCAAGCAGCATCGGCGGCCATCTAGTGCGCTTCTACAAACAGGAGTCTTCTTAGTAATGGAACATAACATAAAATGTTGTCCAAGCCAGCTAACTATCATCGTACTGTAATATTCCATTTTTATTGTTTAGTATGTTTAATTTATTGTGACAAATGTGTATATATCCATTTGTTGGACATTAAATTCATATAATGACAGTATGTTATTCATTCATTCATTCATTCACTTTCCGATCCGCTTATCCTCACAAGAGTCACGGGGGGTGCTGGAGCCTATCCCAGCTCTCTTTGGGCAATAGACGGGGGACACCCTGAACCGGTTGCCAGCCAATCGCAGGGCACACAGAAACGAACAACCATTTGCACTCACACTCACACCTTACAATTTAGAGTGTTCAATCAGCCTGCTATGCATGTTTTTGGAATGTGGGAGGAAACCAGAGGACCCAGAGAAAACCCACGTATTTCCCGGGAGAACATGCAAACTCAACACAGGGAGGCCGGAGCTGGAATTGAACCCGGTACCTCTGCGCTGTAAGGTCGACGCGCTCGACGTGCTAACCATTGGACCACCGGGCCGCCCCAGTATGTTATTCATTTTGCCTTATTTTCATGAACACAGTGTGTTTCATGAGTCTATGTCACGTTACAAAAACTTATATTGAACTGTATGTCTGCACTTTGTTGATGATGATACTCAAAAAAGGTGACTGTTTAGTGGCTGTTAGATAAGTGCTGCTGCACAACACTCCTTGATGATTCTTCCTTGTCCCAAGAGGAAGTCCTGATTAAGCACACACACACACACACACACATGCACGGACGCGCACGCGCGCGCACACACATACACACACACACACACACACACACACACACACACACACACACACACACACACACACACACACGCACACGCACGCACACGCACACACACATAAAGTTGTGAGTTCTATTGGGAATGCCATATGCTCTAGCCCAGTTACATCACCACTAAGTGTCATTCCGAGTATCAGGAAAACGCCTTTGATTTGAAAGTCATCATAATGACTTGGTGAAGCAGGATGTGGCTCAAGGACTGTGTCTAGGCTGAGGGACCAGGACTAGGTTTAAGGTCAGGGCTAAGATTATATTTTAGGGTCAATGGCAGTGGTTCTTAACCTGGGTTCGATCAAATCCCAGGGGTTCGGTGGGTCGGTCTCAGGGGTTCGATGGAGCCTCTGCCATGGAGGGTAAGACACACGAGACTCAACATGTTAATTAGTTATGACACGCCCGCTTGGCCATCACTGGCTGCAGATGATCACATTACATTGCTTGTCCAGTCAGTGCTGCGGGAAATTTAGTCCGCTTGGTTGTCAACGTGTGACTGTCGTGATAATACGTAGTAAAAAAAAAAAAAAGCATACTTAATCTCTTGAAATGTTATTTACTTTATTCTGCTTTTAATAAATGTGTTTTTTTACATCTTGAATTTGTAAAAAAATATAGATTTATTTTTCACTTATGAAGGGTTCGGTGAATGTGCATATTTACTGGTTGGGTTCGGTACCTCTAAGAAGGTTAAGAACCACTGGTCTTGGGCTAGGGGAGGTCTGGACGATTAATCAAAATGTCATCATTAGTTTGATTTTGGATTCTTCCAATCTTGTAATGTTTAAAACCGAAGAAAAATGATTAATGTGCCGAACGGTCCGTTGCGTTTACAGGTTCCAGCCATTGTGAAAGTACTTTGAATGTACTATGCTGCTTGCATAGCAAGGCTATCGTGTATGTGACCCTGTCGTCCATAAGTGTCTTTTAAGCTGTTTTTTAATGACACCCATTTGGAATTTACTGTAAAACTAAACAAACAAGAAGAATTACACACATTGCAAATTTATATCCAAAACATGCTTCCTTTTAAGAACATTACAAGCGCAAATGTTAAAGTCAACAGAACATCGTATTGATATTCTTTCATTCATTCATTTTCCGATCCGCTTTCTCCTCACAAGGGTTGCGGGGGGTGCTGGAGCCTATCCCAGCTGTCTTCGGACAGTAGGCAGGGGACACTCTGAACTGTTGCCAGCCAATCGCGGGGCACACAGAGACGAACAACCATCCGCGCTCACACTCACACCTAGGGACAATTTAGAGTTCATGTTTTTGGAATCTGGTAGGAAACCGGAGTACCTGGAAAAAACCCACGCAGGCCCGTGGAGAACATGCAAACTCCACACAGGAAGGCCGCAGCCGGGATCGAACCCACGACCTCTGCACTGTGAGGTCAACGCGCTAACCATCGGACGACCGTGCCGCCATTCCTATTGATATACAATATTAATGGGAAATTAGCATTAACTTTGTGAGTGCTATCCCTTCACATAACAACTATTCACACACAACCGCTGTGGAAACCCACATGGGTCATATAACATTACTCAAAGGCAGAAATTCTTCCCAATCTGTGATAAACGTTCTGACTACTTTTTTCTGTTCTCATTTTAAGTGTGCACTCCATCCATGCACAGGATTACACTGACCCTAAGATGTCAAAACGAGGAGGAAGTGTCGATATTTGTTTTGGTTTTTGTCAATTGTTATTATTTTATTATATTCTTGTTTTACCTTCTTACTAGTGAATTTTTCATTGTCCTTTCAGTTGTACTTCAAGTAGAGTTCTCAAAGATTCAAGGAATTTTCTTTGCCTCAAAATTAAGATCCAGGTTTTGAGACGCTGTTTATAAATTTTGCAACAGGGGTGTGTGTGCTCTGCGGGCTTTGACACACAACATGTTTGGTTAAACAACCAAACAGTGCAGGTGTAAATTCACCCTAAGACTAGTGAAAAACCAAGATGTAGGGGCAGTACTAGGGCTAGGTATGAAGGGTGAGGAATGGCTCAGTGGTAGAGTAGCCGTCTCCCAACCCCAACGGCCGGGGGTTCAATCCATGGCCATTGCGACCTCCTCGAACTGTCCTTGAGCAAGATCCTGAACCCCGAGTTGCTCCTGATGCTGCGTCATCATTATGTAAATGAGCACAGTATAAAGATCTTTGAGTACCAAAAGTAGAAAAGCGCTATATACATGACAGTTCATTTACCATGACCATCTACTACGAGTAGGACACCCCGTCCTGTAGAAAGATGTGGTTTAATGTCTATGGCCAGCTCTAGGCCTACAATATATCGGGCTAGGTTGAAGGCTCGGCCTGATCAAGGCCCAGCACTAGCACCAAAAGGACTATTAATTCCTAGAATCAGTACTAGGAATAGATCTAATGTCTAGGGCCAGGCCAAGGCAAGGACTAGAACTAGGGCTAAGGCAAGACTCATACTTATTCTAATGACGACTGCCAGGATTCGGTTTAACATCTTGAGATCAGAATAGTACTGAGGTCTGGGACATGGACTACAATATGTCTAATGACTACGGACAGGACTAGGTCTGAGTGCAAGAGGTCGTACAAGTCCTAAGGCCTTCGACCTGAACTCGGTCTGAGGTAACAGGCCAGTATTAGTGATCTAAATCAAGGAATACAGTACATCGAAGGTTGAGAAAGCCAGGATTGGTGTAATATAAGGATTGGTGTAATATAAGCCCTAGGGCTGGGACAAGTGATAAGTCTAATATAAAGGCTAGAACAAGATATAAGGATAAGGTCTAAGGTCTAGAACCAGGGCTAGGACTTTGTCTAAGTACAAGGGTGAGCACTAGGACTTGGTCTCAGGTTCCACCAATGCTCATGATATATACTGTAAAAATAAGCAATGGTTGGAATGTAGAGGCAACTTTGGGCCATCTCTCGATCACGAAACATGCAAGTGTTTGCAATCATCTGAACCAGGTAGCACACATATATAATTAATTCATAATTAAACTGCTAATTACAATGTGTGGGCGGTCAACGGAGAGGGGAGAGAAACGAGTGGGGGTGCAGTGAGTGTGATGTGAGCCGTTCTTTCTCTGCCACTGGCTTAGCACATTTGACATGTGTAAATGGACATTAGAGGAAACTCTTCATTCATAAAGTTGCATTGATTGGAAATAAACAAACCAAAGTTCTCTATTACACCCTGTCACACAAACACACGTATGTTTTTGTTATGTAACATTATACTGCAGCAGGCAGCACTATGAAGCTACGCAAGCACTCCCCCCGACCCCACACCACCATCCCATGCAGCAAAAGTTCCGCTCGTGCAGAGTACAGTGTAATTTTTATAATGACTTCCTAATTCTGTGTCATTGTGCCTGTAATGAGGTTAGGAGCCTTTGAGACTCGTCTTACCTGGAGTCAAAGCTGAGAAGACACGAATAAAAGGAAAGATGCCTCCAAAGAAATCAGTGGTTCAAAAACATTGTCCAGGCGTCACCGGTGATGTCTTGTAGTTTTTTGTTTTTTTTTAAATTTTCTGCTCTGGAGACACTTTACAAACACTCACAAAATTTTTCCGTCATTCTTACAAGGCGCTGGCGTCGTTCCTCTGCTGTATTTCCCGGCACCCTTCGCTCATTGGCCCGTCAAAGAGCAGGAGGAGGTGTTCGCATTGATGTGGTGCATTCCCCACCCGCCCTCCTCCTACTCCTCCTTCTTCTTCATCCATGCAGATGCTGCTGAGCTGGGACAATCGATGAGAGAGATAGAGAGAGGGAGGGAGATAGAGTGAGAGAGAAAAGGTCCCGCTGGTAACTGTGTGGAGAGTGTACACATAAGAACATAGTTAACTGAGGTGCAATGAAGGAGGAAGGTGTACATGTGTGCTAAGGTGTGAAGCATGGATCAAGATAAACACTAGCTCTAAGGCACTGGTGTCAAAGTCAAAGCCAGGGGTCCAGATCTGGCCCGCCATGTCATTTTATGTGGCCCGCGAAAGCAAATCATCTGTGTCAGCTTCCATAATCCTTGCTTAAATCTGAACCGAAATCTCACATTGTCATACGTAATAAATAACGGTGACATTTCGCAATAATTTTGTGACCTGGTTTACACTTACTATAATAATTGAACAAATAACAAAGAAATAGTTGACTCTTAACAGAAAATCGTAATCTGTCTTTTTTTTTTTTTTTTTTGTGCAAGTAATAATACGATGTGATGATTAAACATTTATTCGGTTTCCCTGTCGTAACGGCCCTCCGAAGGAAGACGTAACTCCAAAGTGGCCCGTGAAAAAAATGAGTTTGACACCCTTGCTCTAAGGTCTCGGGTTTATGACAAGGACTCGATCAAGGTCAAGGGCCAAGGCAGAACAAGAAAAGGCCAGGCTACTTTATTCATAAAGCACATTCCATACTCAAGATAACTCAATGTGCTTCACATCATTAAATGTATAGTGCAACATTTAAAAACATTTACAAACAAAAATTGAAAGACATTGAAAAACAAAGTAAAGAAATAAAAAGATAGCTTACTAAACTTACTAAAAAAATGTGCTAGGACGAAGGTCTTAGCAGACCAGTGACGTCTCCATGACTCTTTGTTTTTAGGCAGAGTTTATAGGTCACTTTTATGACAGCCCCAGAGGCTAATAAAAAAAATATATACATGTGAATCTTTTCAGATGTAAGGACAGACTAAGGGCTAGGAGAATAGTCCTGGATGGAAGGATGGACATCTCTGCATGAAATATTAAACTGATTGGGCTGCTGTCGAATTAAACACATTTCCAATTGGAGAAACACACCAGATACAAATAAACAAAATCTCATTTTGGATATGCTCTGACTTAATGTGGCATATAGATGAGATGCAATCATGAGTTATCATTTGCCTCTGAAAATTCCATGTAGCCGTTTTAATTAAATTGATGTAATGAAGTGGCATCCATTCATTCTGGCATCTGAAATCAATACCCGGCTCAAGTCCCGTTGCTGCAGAAAGCTGTTTGTGCTGCGGCATCCTCCAGGGAATACAACACACATAGGCCATATGGATGCTTGGTGAAGCTGTATACATTGGAAGGAACCCGATAAGAGGCCCACGACAGAAAATCTGTAGGTGTTAAAGGAGAGATACAGTGCTATGTAGAGTTCAAACTCGCCACCAAAATCTGTTCTTGCTATTCGTTTACCATTTAACCAGCAAGTCCTGAATCAACTCGAATGGGTTACATTTGCTGAAAAACACATCATAGTGCAAAAAATGAAGAATCCATTTTGATCGTAATCGTAAATGGACTCCACTTAAATAATGCTTAATATACAACATATGGTGTCCAAATTGTTATACAAAGCCTCGCACTACATTTACCTAAGTGAGAATACCCCTGTGTTTTCCTTTTTAGTTAAATATAACTTACTTTAACCTGCAGGATACTTCACCAAACACTGGCCAATAACAGAACCCAGGGTTCTTTTTTACTTTTGGGAACATTTGAAACTGATCATTCTGTCAGACCAGATAGCTAGCACTAAGCTCACCTGAGTGTCGATGTTTCTCCGGTCCAAGTTTGTAAAATCGTCATGCTAGGATGTGTCAGAGGCCAATAGTAAAGTAACGACAAAGGCGTTTTTACACTGACTAGATGGGCTTTATTGACCAATTGCTTCAAAGTTTAATTTAATGCTCATACATGCAGAAACATTTGCGGCTGTCGCTCTTGAAGAGCGCATTTCACACAACGCTGTGTAGCTCCTACATACAGTACGTACATACGTCACACGCATTGCCATTCAAACATTCTTGTTAAACTCGAACACACGACAAAATGCAATGACTAATTCTCACTGGAATCTGAAATTTTTGATTCAGCATTTGTTTTTAGCATCCAATTCGCATCTCAATTTGAGTCAGCACTGATTTGTGCACATTCGTAGTAATGTGCATTTCATAATCCTAATCAGTTCCCAGGTGTCTTATTTGATTTATTTTTGTATTTAATTCATGGTTTTGTTCTATCCAAAAGACAAATCTTGTCTATCCATTGACTTCAGCACACTTCCTTGGACAAATTGATGTACAGTCTTTGGCACCATTTTGTGGCATTTTAGAGCATGACAGAAAGGTTACAAAAATACGCCAATAGGTTAATTTGTGAATGGTGAACCGTGAATGTGCGGTGTTTGACTGTACTCTATATTTTCTTGTGAGTACTACTTATGGGGCGAAACGATAGTCGACTGGTTAGCACGTCCGCCTCACAGTGCAGAGGAGCAGGGTTTGATTGCAGCTCCGGCCCTCCTATGTGGAGTGTGCATGCTCTTCCCGTGCCTGTGTGGGGTTTCTTCGGGTACTCTGGTTTCCTCCCACAATTCAAAAACACAATCATGGCAGAATAATGGAACACTCTAAATTGTCCCAAGGTGTGAGTGTGAGGGTGATAGCGGATGGTTGTTCATCTATATGTGCCCCGTGATTGGCTGGCAACCAGTTCAGTGTGTACCCCAACTTCTGCCCGTAGACAGCTGGAATAGAAAATGGATGGATGGATGGATACTATAGGACCAAACCAACTGCAGTGATGGGGTATCAAAATGGTGGCATTATTTGCTCTATCAAACTTAGATTGCAATGATGACTGTTTAGAGTTTGGGCTATGCTAGAGTTCAAGCAGTGAATTGTAGAAGGTGATTGTTCAAGTCTTGATCTGTTGGAAGTCCATCCAGTTTAGATGAACATCAATCACCGAAACACAATGATGCATTGCTAACTGCGAGTGCCAGTTCCACCATTACGCATATTAAAACCCCTGCAGGGGAAGCTCGCCAAGACCCTCTCAGGCACCCTCCATTGCATCATTGCTTGCGGTCACACCCGCAGCGGCGGGCCCAGCAAATGCGACGTTCCATCAGCCTAAATTATCTGTCTTAAAACCCCTTTACCCTTTGTTTGCCAAAGTTTTTATACTTTAATTAGCGCCCATATTTGTAGTCTACAAAGAATATGTTGGTGCCTTACTGGGTCTCAGGCCTACTTGTGCTCACTCCCTGGATAATGAAATTCTGCAATGGGGTCACATAGTGAGAGAATTCTGTCTAATTCAGAACGGCACGAGGGAGAACAAAACGGGATCACGTCTGAAATCAGATGAATGTGTGGAAAAGGAAGAAATCATTGCTGTTTACAAACAAGGCCCCAATTTGAGAAGAGGAGAATTTGAGGCAAAATGATTTTCTCCAAATAAAGTCCAGATGGCATTTATTATTCAACTACAGCTAACTTTTTTTTTTAATTATGGTGTTTATTTGAGAGGAGGTTCTTATTTAAGGAAAACCATACAATTTGTCCATTTTCTCTAAATACCTACAAAGTGTCATTTTTATTGAGATGAATAAAACAAAAGACATCAGGTGTTTTTTTTATTTTTCTGTAAATAATGTCTGGATCATATGTATACTAAAATCCATACAACTACCAGACAGTTGTTTGAAAGAAAGCGTATATTCGAGATGAGGTGTTTATTTGAGAGCAAGTGCTGTATTGGTCTTCATGAATCAATGAGGTGAGGTCAACTCCAAAAGTCGTTTCCAATTTGTAGCACTAGGGGGCACCACAGAACAATTATTCCCTACGCACATTTCTCATCCGAGTACAAATAAAACAGATCTTGCCAACTTAATGTTAATACCTTATCTTTTTAAATGATTGAAATAAAAGATTTAAAACGTGAAAGGTTTATCACGTAAGAAGAATAGGCCTGACTTGCGTGCCTGTTTAAATCAGTGCAAGCATATCCCGATCATCACTATGCCACTAAGTCCGTGACCGCATAGCAGCACGGCCACCGCTACATGATTCTTATGTGAGAGCTGGCTGCCGAGCTGCTCGGTGCCCCAACAGCAATTCAGTGAATTTATTGTGGCTGCGTGCTCTTGAATTAGTCGACATGCGCTTTGGTTTTAGGAGTGGGTGATCATGTAGCCTATAAAACATAAACACTCATACGTGATGATGGGCACCGTAGAATATTTCAAATGACACCCACACGCACACACACGCACAGTCACACTTTTATGGACACCCTGATGGCATTTATTTTTTAGTGTATTTACTAAAAACCAGACAGCTACCAAGCAATTAGTTGGAGGAGCCTTATAATGAGGAAGATATTTGCTAGGTGACCCTAATTCACCTCATTTAAGCAATCGGTGATTTATCCCCAACATCCTGAAATCCAGTCATTGGGGATGTTGGCTTATAATAAGGAAAATATTGTCTCGCTCATTGCTATGGTGACCAAAGACCATCTCTTTTGAGCAGTGGTGGACCAAGACATCATGTAGATGGTGGACTTGGGTGTTATAATGAGGATAACTCACCACCATGACAACAGTTAAGGAATTGTGTGTGCTTGTAGAGAATGTTGCCACAAACTAAGAAAAATGATCAGATGATATTTATTTGGAGACATTACAAGTTGTGTTAGCATATACATTGATAAGCTCTGTTTGCATCTTTGTGCTTCCGACTGCATCTTTTGAAAACAACATCAGGGAGGCTAACTAAATTACTTATTCACACAAACATTTAATATGTAGAGTTTGTTGCCATTTGGGGGAAAAAAGGTGATGGTGAACGTGGATTAGGACTTTTGGATTTGGGGGTGTGGTCATCA